GATAGATAGATAGATAGATGATAGATAGATAGATAGATAGATAGATAGATAGATAGATAGATAGATAGATAGATATATGATAGATAGATAGAAAGATAAAGAAAGAAAAGATAGATAGATAGATAGATAATAGATAGATAGATAGATAGAGAAAGATAGAAAGATAGATAGATAGATAGATAGATAGATAGATAGATAATAGATAGATAGATAGATAGATAGATAGATAGATAGATAGATAGATAGATAGATAGATATAGATAGATAGATAGATAGAGAAAGATAAAAGATAGATAGATAGATAGATAGATAGATAGATAGAGAAAGATAAAAGATAGATAGATAGATAGATAGATAGATAGATAGATAGATAGATAGATAGATCATAGATAGATAGATATATAGATAATAGATAGATAGATAGATAAAGATAATACGGGCAAAAATATAGTATTTCAAATATAGGTCAGTATATTTGGGAAGAATATTTTTAAATATATTTTTCTTCCATGTGGGCGGGGACTGTGGAAGCGTTCAGGTGGTAGTCCGCCTGTCAGTATTATACACAATCCCGGTGGCTGCAGCCATCAGATTGTATATAAAACCCCCTGTTGTTAAGTCCAAGCGACGTACAGATCTGGTGATGAAAGGGTTAAAGGAACTGGGCATTTTTAATGTTTTATTTTTTAAGCATTGAAAGAAAAAAAAAACAGTTCCTGGCGGAAGTTCACTAGAGCAGTCTACTCCCACTGTGCTATTTATGCCCCCTAACCTTGACCATTAGCCCAGAAAAGGAACATTTGACAGATTCAGCTCCCATTGATTTTAAAGGAGTTCACCAAAAAGTTTGCCAAACCCTGCTGGAACTGAACCCAGGGCCATTGGGCTCATCAGCACTGGTGTCAATGATCTGTATAGGGGGCAGTTTTTCCTCTGATGACTATTTGATGTCCTCCTCCATGGCCCTTCCATACAAGGAGATCCTTCTCCCATTTTTACCCAAAGTGAGGGACCTCTACCCTGACCACTTGAAATGAGCTCTGGCTTTGGACCAAACCTACATTGAGTCAGAATTCAGCTTGCTCAGAGAGAGGCCAAAGTAAATCCTGTTTTTTTTTCTTTTTAGCAAATATGATAGAAATCTTTGCAAGCATACAGAAGAGTTTGGGGCCCTGACTAGTAAAAGAAACTTAACACCACAAAAGGAAAAAAACAGTGGTCCGGTGACATTTGCAATGTCATCAAGAATAATCCCTGGAAAGTGCCCAATACATGTATTTTATTCGAGCATCAGTTCCACCTAGTGGCCATAATGTGGTATTTTCCCGATTGAGGTATTTTAGGTAAATACTGCATTCTTCCCACTAGATGGCACTGATGATCATAAGAAATTGCTCTACTGCAGGGGTCTCCAAACTTTCTAAATAAAGGGCCAGTTTACTGTCCTTCAGACTTTAGGGGGGCTGAACTGTGGCCATTGGGAGTAGAAACCGTCCCGACATCAGTGAGAATAGACAATGCCCCATCTTTGGTATCAGTGGGAGGGATAGTGCCCCATTTTTGGTGTCAGTGGGGAAGAATTGCAACCCATTGTTTGCATCAGTGGGAGGAACTGTGCCCCATTGTTGGTGTTATCAAGAGGAATTGTGCCCCATAGTTGGGAAGAATTGTGCCCAATCATTGGGAAGAATTGAAGAATTGTGCCCCATCACTGGGGAGGAATTGTGCCCCATCATTGGGAAGAATTGTGCCCCATCATTGGGAAGAATTGAATTGTGCCCCCATCATCATTGGGAAGAATTGTGCCCCATCATGGGAGGAATTGTGCCCCATCACTGGGAAGAATTGTGCCCCATCACTGGGAGGAATTGTGCCCCATCACTGGGGAATTGTGCCCCATCACTTGGAAGAATTGTGCCCCATCATTGGGAGGAATTGTGCCCCATCATTGGGAGGAATTGTGATCATTGAATTGTGCCCCATCATTGGGAGGAATTGTGCCCCATCATTGGGAGGAATTGTGCCCCATCATTGGGAGAATTGTGATTGGGAGGAATTGTGCCCCATCATTGGGAGAGAATTGTGCCCCATCATTGGGAGGAATTGTGCCCCATCATTGGGAGGAATTGTGCCCCATCATTGGGAGGAATTGTGCCCCATCATGGGAGGAATTGTGCCCCATCATTGTGGAAGAATTGTGCCCCATCATCATTGGAAGAATTGTGCCCCATCATTTGGAAGAATTGTGCCCCATCATTGGGAAGAATTGGCCCCATCATTGGGAAGAATTGTGCCCCATCATTGGGGAATTGTGCCCCATCATTGGGAGGAATTGTGCCCCATCATTGGAAGAATTGTGATTGGGAGAATTGTGCCCCATCATTGTGCCCCATCATTGGGAGGAATTGTGCCCCATCATTGGGAAGAATTGTGCCCCATCATTGAATTGTGCCCCATCATTGGGAAGAATTGTGCCCCATCATTGGGAAGAATTGTGCCCCATCATTGGGAGAATTGTGCCCCATCATTGGGAGAATTGTGCCCATCATTCATTTGGAAGGAATTGTGCCCCATCATTGGGAAGAATTGTGCCCCATCATTGGGAGGAATTGTGCCCCATCATTGGGAAGAATTGTGCCCCATCATTGGGAGAATTGTGCCCCATCATTGGAAGAATTGTGCCCCATCATTGGGAAGAATTGTGCCCCATCATTGGGAGGAATTGTGCCCCATCATAGGAGAATTGTGCCCCAATGGGAAGAATTGTGCCCCATCATTGGGAAGAATTGTGCCCCATCATTGGGAAGAATTGTGCCCCATCATTGGGAAGAATTGTGCCCCATCATTGGGAGAATTGTGCCCCATCATTGGGAAGAATTGTGCCCCATCATTGGGAGAATTGTGCCCCATCCATGCCCCATCATTTGGGAGGAATTGTGCCCCATCATTGGGAAGAATTGTGCCCCATCATGTGGGAGGAATTGTGCCCCATCATTGGGAAGGAATTGTGCCCCATCATTGGAAGAATTGTGCCCCATCATCATTGTGCCCATCATTGGAAGAATTGTGCCCCATCATTGGGAGGAATTGTGCCCCATCATTGGGAGGAATTGTGCCCCATCATTGGGAGAAGAATTGTGCCCCATCATTGGGAGGAATTGTGCCCCATCATTGGGAAGAATTGTGCCCCATCATTGGGAAGAATTGTGCCCCATCATTGGGAGAATTGTGCCCCATCATTGGGAGGAATTGTGCCCCATCATTGGAATTGTGCCCCATCATTGGGAAGAATTGTGCCCCATCATTGGGAAGAATTGTGCCCCATCATTGGGAGAATTGTGCCCCATCATTGGAAGGAATTGTGCCCCATCAATTGAATTGTGCCCCATCATTGGGAAGAATTGTGCCCCATCATTGGGAAGAATTGTGCCCCATCATTGGGAAGAATTGTGCCCCATCATTGGGAGAATTGTGCCCCATCATTGGGAAGAATTGTGCCCCATCATTGGGAAGAATTGTGCCCCATCATTGGGAGGAATTGTGCCCCATCATTGGGAGGAATTGTGCCCCATCATTGGAAGGAATTGTGCCCCATCATTGGAAGAATTGTGCCCCATCATTGGAAGAATTGTGCCCCATCATTGGGAGGAATTGTGCCCCATCATTGGGAAGAATTGTGCCCCATCATTGGGAAGGAATTGTGCCCCATCATTGGGAGGAATTGTGCCCCATCATTGGGAAGAATTGTGCCCCATCATTGGGAAGAATTGTGCCCCATCATTGGGAAGAATTGTGCCCCATCATTGGGAAGAATTGTGCCCCATCATTGGAAGGAATTGTGCCCCATCATTGGAATTGTGCCCCATCATTTGGAGGAATTGTGCCCCATCATTGTGCCCCATCATTGAATTGTGCCCCATCATTGGGGAAGGAATTGTGCCCCCATTGGAAGGAATTCATTGGGAAGAATTGTGCCCCATCATTGGGAAGAATTGTGCCCCATCATTGGCCCCATCATTGGGAAGAATTGTGCCCCCTGGAAGAATGCCCCATCATTGGGAAGGAATTGTGCCCCATCATTGGGAGGAATTGTGCCCCATCATTGGGAATAATTGTGCCCCATCATTGGGAAATTGTGCCCCATCATTTGGAAGAATTGTGCCCCATTATTGGTGCCATTGGAAGGAATTGTGCCCCATCATTGGGAAGAATTGTGCCCCCATCACTGGGAGGAATTGTGCCCCATCATTTGTGCCATTGGAAGGAATTGTGCCCCATCAGTGGGAGGAATTGTGCCCCATCACTGGTGTTATTGGAAGGAATAGTGCCCCATCATTGGTGTTATTGGAAGGAATTGTGCCCCATCATTGGTGCAATTGGAAGGAATTGTGCCCCATCACTGGGAGGAATTGTGCCCCATCATTGGTGTCATTGAAAGGAATTGTGCCCTCTTAGTTGGTGTCAGTGGGGGGGGGGGGGGAATTATGCCTTATTGTTGGTATCAGTGGATGAAATAGTGCCCCAAGGGCCAATTTTTATTCTTCTCCTGCCATCAATGACCAACCCGGTCCCACACTTCATCCATGTCTTCTGTGACCTCTGATCTCCTTATGAACTGTTTCTTCCATGATGAAGATCAGCCATGGAGTATATCTGAGGTGTATATCAGGGTGTGCTTCTTCCCCACATGAGAGCTGGGATGTCCAGCAACATTCATCTAGAAGACATTTCCCGCACTCAAGGCACTAATACACCTCCAGGGTTGTGTGGGATCCCTGATGTACAGGAAGACAGGACTTCAGTGAGGAACATTTCCCTCACTCAGGACAGGAAAGTTGCTTCTCCCCTGTGTGAGATCTCTGATGTTTGGAAAGACTGGACTTCCCTGAAAAACATTTTCCCTGCACTCAGGACAGGAATACGGCTTCTTCTCCCTGTGTGAGATCTCTGATGTGTGAAAGATTGGGACTTCTGAGTTTTTTTTAAAACATTTCCCGCACTCAGGACAGAAATATGGCTTTCCCCGTGTGAGATCTCTGATGTCTGTGAAGAGAGGACTTTCTGAAAAACAATTTCCCGCACTCAGAACAGAAATACGGCTTCTCCCGTGTGTGAGATCTCTGATGTCTGTAAAGATTAGACTTCAATCTGAAAACATTTCCCGCACTCAGGACAGGAATACGGCTTCTCCCCCTGTGTGAGATCTCCTGATGATGTGTGCAAAGACTTGGACTTTTCTGAAAAACATTTCCCCCACTCAGGACAGGAAAATGGCTTCTCCCCCGTGTGAGATCTCTGATGTGTGATTACAAGTTGTGATTTGTGAAAAAACATTTCCCACACTCAGGACAGGAATACGGCTTCTCCCCTTTGTGAGATCTCTGATGATGCGTAAAGATTGGACTTATCTGAAAAACATTTCCCACACTCGGGACAGGAATATGGCTTCTCCCCTGTGTGAGATCTCTGTGTGTAAAAAGTTGGATTTTTCTGTAAAAACATTTCCCGCACTCAGGACAGGAATACGGCTTCTTCCTTGTGTGAGATCTCTGATGTCTATCGAAGATTTGACTTTTTTGAAAAACATTTCCCGCACTCAGGACAGGATGTGGCTTTCTCCCCTGTGTGAGATCTCTGATGCATGTAAAGACCAGACTTTCGTGAAAAACATTTCCCACACTCAAGACAGGAAGTATGGCTTTTCCCCCGTGTGAGATATCTGATGTCTGCAAAGACTGGATTTCAATGAAAAACATTTCCCGCACTCAGGACAGGAAAAAGGCTTTTCCCCAGTGTGAGATCTTTGATGTGTGAAAGATGTGATTTCTGTAAAAGCATTTCCCGCACTCCAGGACAGGAAAGGCTTCTCCCAGTGTGAGATCTCTGATGTGTGACAAGTTGTGATTTTTGTATAAAAACATTTCCCGCACTCTAGACAGGAATACGGCTTTCTTCCTCCCATGTGAGATCTCTGATTATGATGTCCAAAACTTTGATTTCTGAAAAACATTTCCCGCACTCAGAACAGGAATATGGCTTTTTCCCCTGTGTGAGATCTCTGATGTCTGTAGAGATTGGACCTCTTTGAAAAAAATTTCCCGCACTCAGGACAGGAATACGGCTTCTCCCCCGTGTGAGATCTTTTATGATCATTAAGATTGGATTTAGAATGGAAACCTTTCCCGCACTCAGTACAGGAGAACCTCTTCCCTGTTGGAAGGCCGGCCCGGTCCCGCACAGTCTGAGGTTCCTCAGGATACGAGGAATCCGATGGTCCATCTACACTGGGTGGTGCCGGATGGACATTGGAGGGAGCCGGGTTTTCTCCTGGACTATACTGTGTGATGTCCTCACTTCTACTTTCCAGTCTGGGAGACAAAGTGAGACAATCCTCGGAGGTTTTCCTCATCTCCCGGCCATGGACTAAAATACAAAGACAAAGAGGATTACTAGACAGGAGCTGATTGGTTCCCCCAAACCAGGACTCCGCCCACATCAGGCAGCTTGGTCTCTGAGGAGCTTACAATTCCACCCTCAAGGGAACTAGGAAATGGCTCCTCTGATCTCCTACCAGGTCATTTCTTTATTCATGGACCTTAGTCAGAGAGTGAGGAAACAACCAGAACTGTCTTTTCTTTTATAGGAGGGACAGTGATGAGGGGATTATAGGACGAGGGTCCCCCCACCCCCTCTATCACTCATCGCCATCTTCCCAACACAAGAAGTACTGCACTTCCTTATTTAGTCCATGATTTAGTCATGAAGAACAGCGGGGCTGAGCCCCACCAGAGGTCAGAGAGTGAGGATGGGGGGAGAACAACCAAGATGAAGACTGGACTGATCCTGAAGACCACCATCATTGGGGTATTGACTCCTCCCTCATTATCACTTTCTCTATATAAGGGTCCAAAGTTGGAGGATGTTATCACACATATTTTCACCATGTAAAAGTTTTGTGCTCCAATCACATCATCCGTAAATAAAAAATGTCCAGATCAAAAAACTGGCTTCCCTAACAAAAGAGAATCCATATTATGTGTGTATTATAACAATTAGGGGGGTTGACCTTGCGATGCGGTGTGAAAACTCCCGCTTGCAGCATCTTTGAGGCATGTTTGAGGGAGTTAAAAAACATACAAAACGGCTCAAAAACACCTCATCCCATTGCAAATGTCATGGTAACCGCCTCAAAAACGATCCAGAAATGTACAACATACCGCTCCAAAATATGCAGTGCACAGGGGGAAGGTCTGGCTGTTTCAGCTGTCAAGGGGTTCCCCACTGATGGCTGGGTCAGGAGTAAAAGAAAGAATTGCCTGCAATTAAAAATGAATAAATAAATGGTGTGGGGTCCCCCCCCTCCATCCATACCAAGCCCTTCGGGACTATCGGGTCTAGTATATTTGAGGGGAACCCCCATCCAAAAAAAAAAAAAAAATAGCTTAAAACCGCTCCAAAAATGCACCGCACAGGTAGGAAGGTCTGGCTGTTTCAGCTGTCAGAGGGTTCCCCACTGATGGCTGAATGTAAAAGAAAGAATTGCCTGCAATTAAAAATGAATAAATAAACGGTGTGGGGTCCCCCCCTCCATCCATACCAAGCCCTTCGGGTCTAGTATGGATTTTGAGGGGAACCCCCATCCAAAAAAAAAAAAAATGGCATGGTGACCCCCCAAAATCTATACCAGACCCTTATCCGAACATGCAGCCCGGCATGTCAGAAAAGGGAGGGACGAGCGATCCCCCCCCCCTCCTGAACCATACCAGGCCACATGCCCTAAACATCAGGGGGTGCTTTGAGATGTGGGGCATCCCCCCAATAGGCACCTTGTCCCCATGTTGATGGGGACTAGGGCCTCTTCCCCACAACCCTGGCCAGTAGTTGTGGGGGTCTGGGGCAGGGGCTTATTAGAATCTGGAAGCCCCCAGATCCTGACACTCCCCCCCCCATGTGTTGAATGAGTATGGGGTACCCATTCACAAAAAAACCTGTAGTGTAAAAAAAGACAGTAGACGGTCTTTGAAAAGTCTTTTATTAAAAGAAGGAAAATAAAAGAATGTCCCCCGAAGTAGATCCAACGTCAATCACAATGCCCGCCGCCTACCGGAAAAAAAAAAAAGAAGAAGGCTCCTCTCCCAACGCTGGCTCCAACCGTCTGCCTGCTTCATTGGCTTGACAGTTCGTAAATACTCAAGTGACCCCGCCCCATGTGACATCATTGACCAGGGCATGCTGGGTCAATGATGTCACACAGGGGCAGGCTCACATGCGTGATGGCTCCGCCCTTTACATATTTAAGAACTGTCAAGCCAGCAAAGCAGTCAGATGGTGGGAGCCAGTGTCGGGAGCAGAGCCTTCTTTTTTTTTTTTTTTTTTTTTTCTGGTCCGGCGGCAGGCGTGGGCATCGTGATATTACGTTGGATCTTCTGCGAGGGACATTCATTTATTTTCCTTCTTTTAATAAAGGACTTGTCAAAGACTGTCTCCAGTACAGTATGGATGGAGGGGGGGGACCCCATGCATTTTTTTATTATTATTTAATTGCCGGCAATTCTTTTACATTCAGCTGTCAATGGGGAACTCCGCTGACAGCTGAAACATGAACGCATGATTTTCGCTACTAAAATACCGCATGAGTTGATAAAATACGTGCAAATCTGCCCAATTTGAGCTACAAAAGTATGTCCATGGTGTTTCGCTTGAAAAACGCATCAAAAATGCTCCAAAAACACTAGTCATTTTTCAAGCGTTTTTGAGGCGAACCAGTGTGAAAGGAGCCTTAGTCAGGAATAACGGCAGGGCTGAGCCCCACCAGAGGTCAGAGAGTGAGGGGGGGGGGAGAACAACTAAGACAAAGACTGGACTGATCCTGAAGACCACCATCATTGGGGTATTGACTCCTCCCTCATTATCAATTTCTGTGTTTAAGGGTCCAAAGTTGGAGGATATTATCACCCATGTAAAAGTCTGTGCTCCAATCACATCATCAGATATCTAGAGCTGGTAAAAAATGGGTGTAACAAAAGAAAATAATATATATTTATATATAGCAGAAGATATGTACATAGGAGGTAGAGAGCAGAAGCTAGGACTATGCAATGTACAGCATACTGGCCAGGTTACAACAGCTAGGACTATTTAGTATCAGGACTATGTAATGCACAGGATAGTCTATATAGTGCGGGGGTCAGGAATATATTATATGCAAGTATTAACTATACAGTGTAATCGTCAGGAATACTCATAATATTGGTATTCAGTAATCAGTGGAAGCCAGGGGCGGACTGACCATTTGGAAACTCGGGCACTGCCCGAGGGCCCAGGGGTCAGTAGGGGGCCCCATGAGATGCCCCTGGTACCTTTTTCATAGGCTTTTTTGAGTTTGGGCAAGGACACAGGGGCCCCATGATCCCCTATTGCAAGGGGACCCATAAGTTGTCAGTCCGCCCCTGGTGGAAGCCTAAAATGTTTCCTGTAGACAAGTTGCAGAGGTCCCACACCGCTGCCTCCCATCTCCTGAGACTGCACTCAGTGACTTGGGTCTGAGACTATACAGACATATCCCTCCACCCGGCACAGCCAGCAGACCACAGCAAGGTAACCCTGGGAGAATTACTCTGTCAGAGATCTTACTAGACCCGGGCATGGAGATGAAAACCCATGGCCCAGATGCCTAGGTTCTAGTAACGTCTATGGTGAAAAGTCAACATTTTGCTGCCAGCTGAACCCCAGAACCTCCATAAATCCAGTCTAGATACATAAATTGTGTCTGCAGCACAGAGAAGGAAGATTATCCGAGAGAAATCCAGGAATACAGGACGGGGAACACAGCTCAGGAAAGTGACCAGGGGATTACAGGCTGATATCACCCAGTCCCCGCCCTACTCTGGACCAATCAGTGAGCAGTATGGGTGGAGGAATGGATTTAGTGTTCATGACCCACCTGTGTGCTGATCTCTGTAGGAGTGTCCTCCTCTATAAATGTCCCCGTTATTCCATCCTCCTCCATAGACTGCTGATCATCCCTCACATACGCCTCTTCTTCTTCTTCTGCTTTCACCTCAATTTTATATCGATTGGATCTTCACCCTAAATCAAGAAATGAGAGAAAATATCATCTGTAAAATATAAACTTTAATATTGTGACATCACATAAAAAATTCCACACATTGTCTCCACAAGTCCATGTTTTAGATGATCCATCCCACCAACCTTGTAACAGTGAGGGATGGTGTGACCTCCTGTGTGGAATCCCGGGAATACAGAGGACGGGGACATCTCTCTGGTGGGTTCCTGGTATTAGGTGGCTCCATCATATCCTTGTGTCCTTCTGAAAACTCCTCCATCACTCCATACTCCTCATCCTCCTCTTTATACTCTTCTTTAACATCAATATATATCCCGAGGATTCCACTCTGAAAGATATAATAAAACATTCATTGTAACAAACATGCTGTTTATAAATCAGAACTACCAATAATTGTCAATCATCATCTACCTGATGATGGTGAGGGATGGTGTGACCTTCCTGTGTGGAATCCCGGGAATACAGAGGACGGGGACATCTCTCTGGTGGGTTCCCATGACTGGATCCATCTGTAGGAAACACACACACTGACTGAATCCATTGTTTCTATGTGTTTATCAGATGATGGGGGATCTAGGTGGATCCTCCGTACTGCTCTCTCCTTTACAATAAAGTCTCCTCTTACCCGGTGATGTGAGGGGCGGCTGATTGTCCATCATGACGTCCTTGTAGAGATCCTTGTGTCCTTCTAAATACTCCCACTCCTCCATGGAGAAATA